AGACAGAACATTAATAGCTATGGAATTGTGTCCAAGACTCTTATTTTGCTCTAAATTCCTGCACACCTTTAACAGGCGCTGATTCTAGGGCACAGAAGGAGATTTATTGCCAACATCATCCGTCACCCTGTGAGATCAATTTCAGGTGTCCAGTGTCACAGGGAGAAGGTAAAGTGTGAATTATAGTGTCTGACCAAATGCTTCTTCACTCTGTCGGAGATCCTGGCTCTGTGCCTTTCCCTCCCTCCACAGCCTCCTCTCATGGCAGGGACTCCAGCTACAGTGAGCCAAGGGAAAGTAGAAGAAAACCAAACAAGCAAAAGGGGACATCTGCAGGTTATCTAACTGTCCCTGACAACTATGACGACCAGTACGGTGCTGGACCCACACACCATGGTGGTAACCCAACCAGATCAACTTTTGTTCTTGCCACTGTCTAGTTGCAGGATCCTGTGCAAATCACTTATCTCTTTGAACCTCAGTTTTCTCATCTGTAAAATAGGGATTCAAAGTAGTATCTTCCCCATCAGGGTGGCTATGATGGCTAGATGTGTTTAGAATTATGCCTGGCAAATAGGAAGCATTCTTTATAAATTATTGTTATTATACTTAAATTCTTTGACCCAAAGAATGATCCTCTACTAAAGGGGAGCACTCTGCAGAGGAGAGGACATAACAACAAGATAGGAGATAAAGAAGAGGCCTGGGATGAACATCTTCCCTCTCCCAAGATGGATACAGAGCAGAAGAGTCCCAGATGCTGCTGTTAAGATGGAATTGTTTGAAAATACAAAGTAAACAATACGGCTCAAGCAAGCCGTTATTGTCAACAGTTACCTGTTTTGAAAATGCACAAAAACACTATTTTCTCTCAAACAAATGCCTCTAATTATTGGCTCTGCTGCATGTCTACTGAAGAGTTGTGAATGAGGTTTAAAATGATGTCCCTACCATAAACTTTCAGCTTTTTCTGGTATAATCTATGGATTAAATGAGCCTCAGTTTGGTTTATTGTTGATGTTCTTTAATGCAGCATTATTTTTGGGCATCTGAAAAATTTCAGGTGGGATTTATGCCTGTCATGGGTAGCTGTCATTTTTGCCTGCTTTATGTTTTCAACCCCTGTTCTCTGGGGGAAAGGGACCCTATTCGACTGGGGAACTGATTCCTCCAACTTCAACCAAGTGATTCTAATGGGGGCTGGCCCTCATGGCATCTTGAACGCACACTGCTCACTCTAACAGGTGGACACAGGACCCAGAGTTTGTCTAGTCATGGCCTCTTACTCTCTGAGCCATACACACTGTCCAAGGCATGAGTATGTGACCCAAATTGGGCCAATCTAAGGGCTTCCCTGGGGTTTCCCAAATTGGTGTTGGGTGAAGGACAGATAGAGAAGGAGGGAAAAATACATGATCATGGGGCTGCTTGCCTCCACACCTTCATGAGTATGCAGAAAGTCAGTGAGAGAGTGAAACCGGAAAGGAGAGTGGAGACAAGAGAGGAAAAGAGAAATCCCAGAAGAATCCCATTCCTTGTTTTCCGGGGATCTCACCCTCTCAGGTGGGGGTTATATGAGCCATTAATCTCTCTCTTAGTCCAAAGTTTATGTAAAAGGTTTATGGGTTTATGACACTTGTAGAATAAGAGTTTGTCCATCCACCCATCCATCCACATGCTCACCCACCACTTTGTCAGTAAGTTAATATCTACTGAAAGCTAACCAAGTGTCAGGCTGTGTTCCAGGCACAGTTTTAGGTGCTGGAGATAACTCAGTGAACAAAACAGAGCCCAGCCCCTCAGAGGCATTCTACCTAGTACAGAAGGCAGACAAAAAACAAATACATAACATATTGGATAATCATCAATGCTAACAATGAAAATGAAGTAAGATCAAGGACACAGAGACTGATGGGGCGTGCGCAGAGGGTCAAAGAGGGTCTCTCTCAGCAGGTGACATTAGGCAGAGTTCCGAACAAAGTAAAGGAATGAGCTGTATGAAGATGTGATCTAAGAGTTCCTGGTCGAGAGAACGAGTGCCAAGTTCATAGGTCTTCAGACTAACCGAGCTCTCTCTCTACCCCTGAGGACAAGGAGGGCATGGTAATTACCTGTGCTGCTTGGGACTCAGCCCGATAGGATCCGGTCCAGTCAGATAGACCTGAAATTGAAATCCCCACCTTGGCTACTTCCGTGGTTGGTGAATGTATAAGTTAACTAAATGCTTGAGCTCAATCTCACACAAGTAAAATGATGGTACAGAACCTCCTTCATTAAGTCATTTATGAAGGGGGGTACACTCTATACTTCAGGTACAGTGTTAGCTCATGGTCTAGAGAGGAAGAGAGAATTTAAAGTTTTTTTTTTTTAATTTTATTTATTTATCTGAGACAGAGAGAATGAGAGAGACAGAGAGCACATGAGAGGGGGGAGGGTCAGAGGGAGAAGCAGGCTCCCTGCTGAGCAGGGAGCCCGATGCGGGACTCGATCCAGGGACTCCAGGATCATGACCTGAGCCGAAGGCAGTCGCTTAACCAACTGAGCCACCCAGGCGCCCGAGAATTTAAAGTTTTGACTATACACAGAACAAAGGCTTTATAGGGAAGTACTGAGTCCTACCTCAGGGCACCATGACGGGTAAGAATGGATGAGGGTGTGTGTATGTCAGCTGCCTCTGTTTTTATAAGAATTAATTAAGACGACCTAGGAAAAGTACTCAGATCCTGGTAAGGGCACAAGAGAAGCTGGTTCTGTTCCTTCTGATTAGCCTCAGAATCATAGATCCTGAGAAGCCTAAAATGATCAAAGCCAACTCCCCAGCCACAGAGAACTGAGATATGTTAAGTCACAGAGAATAGAACACTTTCCTCAGTCTGACACTTGAACACCGGGGTGGACCACCTACGCTTGGAGGGGGCAGTGAGATGAACTCCAATCTGATTCTGGCTATTTAAAAAAAATAATAAATAAGACCAAAACACCAGTTATCTGGCAAGCTGTTGAAGAAGTTAATACAAAGGTGGAAAATGTCCATCTGCAAGGATTCATCTAACACACGTGTACACTGCTCATCATTCTCTCGCCTTGCTCCCTGCCCTCCTGGATAAAGGAACTGATGATGCCTGGGTCGACAGTTCCTCCAGAACGTTCACCAGGTCTCATGCCCCGCCTCCCAGCTTTGCAGCTAAAATCACACCTGGTGTCTCACCTGCCAATCCATCAACCAACCTGTTTGAAGAACAAACCCAAAATACCGCGCCAGAGCCTGGACGAGGGAGACCGTGTGGCTTACGTAACTGACCTTGTTCTTCTTCCTGGGAGGGGGGAGGATGAGCCAGCAAATGGCTGGCAACTCTTACCCTGAGAAATCATGAAATGTGTTTTCCCTCTCACCCCTGGCAGAGCAGAGAGTTCTTGAGAGGGGCGTGAGGAACTTGCTGAGATCCCAGACAGCCCCTTTGTGATAACGGGAGCAGCATCCCCGGCAAAGCCTCAGAATGCATCTCCCCAGGCTCCAGTTAAGGCGGGAGTGCATGAGCCAGTGTACACGTGGTCTTTTGCACGTACATTCCAATTTGGCTGAATTTTGTTCATGTCTGCATAGAAAAGGCTCTCAGTAGATATGGTAGTTCACTTAGAGTGTCAACACCTGCATGATTAAAAACCCTGTTGGTCATGAGAGAAGGAGAGGACAAAGTACCCCTCTGGGAGTCCTGAGACCTGGACTGTGTAACCCTGGTGCTCACGGGTTCAGGATTTGGGGTGAACCTGCCCTCTTCTATGAAGGGCACCTCGGCTTCGACAGGTGTATCTAGGGGAGGCTATCTGAGGTGTCTTGCTGCTCTGTCTCTGTGAGCTGTTGCAGGTTCTCTGATGACAAAAGTCCCCTGATGTTGTCATTGTCAGTCATTCGGCCCCCTTCTATGATCCCCAAACGCCCCTACAGTCCAAACTGGGTCCAGGCAAGAAACATTCCATCCATTTCAAGACACACACAAAGGAGGCAGAAAGTCTGAACTGTGCTTCTGCATGTGAATTAACTGGTGTGTCTTTAACTGTTTTTTCCAAGAGGGATTACAGATGGGATGGGGCATCATGGATCCCATTCAAGAGGATTAGACCAGGCTTCCCAAAGGCCACTGTCCTCAAATTGTTCCCTTATAATGTGGCCCAGTGTCCTGCCACCCCCTCCGCCTGAATTCTGTCAGCTCTAGAAGGACAGCGGTGGAGCCTAGTGTCCAGGAGACAGATTGCAATGCCTCACAAGTAGTTTCTCAACATAAGGGATTAAACTAAATCTATACTTATAGTTATAAATATATAAATAAACTGATTTTGGTGAGAGATGGTTTTTCTTTACAATCTCGAGCAGAGGCCAGATTCCCCCTGATATGGTGACATCTTGAGAGGGAGAGGGAAGGGAGGGACACAGAAGTGCTCAGAATCCAGAAACCCACCCTGCCTCTGCAGCAGCCTGGGGTGAGGTGGGGTTTACTGGGGATCATGAAGGATCGTCTTGATTCACTTTTTGAGGAGCCATCTGTGAACCCGAGAAGGAAAGGAAGCAATATATAATGAAATAAGGTGGTCTTCATATTCAGACTTGAGTTGGAATATTGGTCTTGTCACTTGGTAGCTCTGTGACGCAAGGGGGATAACTCAGACGCTCTGAGCCTCAATCTCAATCCACAAATGGGGGGTACTAGGGATGGTCTTACACTGTGGCTTTGAGGACCAAGTGAGACAATATATGTAAGGACTCCAGGCACGGAACTCCAGGTGCTCCTGCTCACCAAGTGGCTATAGCTATGATCACAATTGAGTTGTCCTTGAGTAAATTAATATAAAATGGCAGAGGAATAAGGTAGTCAGCAACAGCAGTGAGCCCCAAACTCAAGCTCATGACCAGCATGCTGCCTAGGGTCCCTACACCATACAGAACTGGCCCCTCTGTCCCGACATGGTGGTGGGAAGAAGGGAGTTCACGATCAGAAACGTACCTGGATGCTGCCTCCAGCTGGTCTTTCCTAAGAGGGAATGAGAAAGAAAAACATAGAGAAAGTATAAATTGCATGAACAGCTTCGCCTCTCCCCACAATGGGCCCCAAAGCATCCCTTGAGGAAGATGAAGGCACATAGTGGCGCTCTCGGGTGAGATGGTGAGTCTGCAGGGGAACCAGTGAATGAGCCGACTTTTTCCGGCCAGACCCCAGGCCCCACCACAAAGGCTTGGCCCTAAGCTCTTAGGGTTCTTCCAGGTCATTCATTCATTTACTCACCCAGAGGATGGTTGCCGAGCTCCTGCTCTGGCCCAGGCCTCGTGCGGGGTTCAAGGGATTTGTTTAGCAGTGGGGACAGACCAGAAAACCAGGAATTTCATCACTTAGCGCCACACCCCCCATCACTCTGTCACCACCACGTCATCATAGTCGACATCATCCCCATTATTGCTAATATTTATTGGGCAATAATTATTAGGCAGATACTATTTTTGGTTCTTTAGAAGGATTAACTCACTTAATCCTCATAACAACTCTATGAGGGAAGGATTAATATCATTCCCATTTTCCTGATGACAAAGTGAGGCACAGAGAGGTTAAGAACATTGCTCAAGTTCTCACAGTTAGGAAGTAACAGAGTCAGGATTCGAACCCAGGTGATCTGGTTCCAGAGCTTACCCTCCTAACCATGAGTGGTATGCACAAATTCCAGACACTGAACCTTTGCCCAGGCTTTGCCCGGAATAGTGTTGCTCATCCTTCAAGTTCCAGCTGGAGGGACCTGTCCTGGAGTTTCTTATCCAAATCCCCAGGGTCTAGGCTGAGCTAATCTCTTAACACGTGGGACTGGACTCTGAACACACTCTTGTACAATCACACGGTAGTCTATGAGCTGCTTAGAGCAGAGCCTCTGTTGCTTTCAGCTCTGAAATTCAGCATCCCATACCCTGCCTGGCATGGGGGAAATGCACAATAAATGCTGAATGAATAAGTGGCTTATTACTGGGGTCTGGGGGTAGGAGAAATGGGGAGCGAATAAGAAGTATCATGGTAGAGAAGCAGAGGGACCAGCTGGGGGGTTCAAGTTCATGGGTCAGCTCCCTCTCTAATCTCAGGTGGCCTTGGATGGGTCATACATCTCTGGGCCCATCTCTCTATCTGAAGCATGTGCACAGAAAACACTCTGCCTTTCTAGAATTCTCTGGCTGTCTGACTCTGGAAGAAGGGAAAGCACTGAGAGGAGAGGGAAAAGGTGGAGGGGTGGAGGGCAGGACCTGCACAGGGGTGCCACGGAGAGCAGTGTTAAAGAATAGAGCCCCCCCCATTCCTTTCTCATTCTCCAAGACAAGGATTCCATGCCTTCTCTATCATCGCACTTCCCACCTCTCCCTTCCCTCCCAGGCTATGAACTTGACTCACTTCTTATAGAGACAGATCTGCCCCGTGTCCCCCCACCAAGTCGGCAACCTCGAACACTTAGCCCTGCCCACTCTGCTTCCCTTCTGTGCACACGGATGCAGGGTCCACACCCCTGATCCTCCACTCGTGCTCCAGAACCCATCCCTCTGCCCTGCTCTCTCCTCCAGCCTCTCCCCTCCCCACTGCATTCACATTCATCCCTCTCCTCTAGACCCCTTCCATCATGGCAAGAGTCCTGGCCCCACATTCCACTCCATCTGGCACCTGCACTTGCTGTCCCCACGTGTTCATTTCCACATCTCTCTTTGGTCTTTGCAAGCTTCTATGCCCATTGCTCCATGGAGATTGCTCCAGGCAAAGCTCCAAGAAACTCCAAGTGATAAATATCCAGTGGGCACTTCCCTGTCTGTGTCTCCATCAACCTTGTCACAGGATCAGCACAGTTCACTGTTATGCCCCCAGTGCCAAATACAGTGCCTTGCATGTATGAGAGGTTCAGTAAATACTTGATGAATGAATGGGGTAAATAAATAAAATATTTGTAACTACATTCCAGACAGAGTGTTTAAGCCCTATTGTCGTTCACTAACAGTGGTTTCTCAGGACTATATTTGGGTGCCTAGTGTCTTTCCTTCTTGCTATAACACCAATACTTCCTTCCAGCCCAGATTCAACAAGCAGAGACTGAACACCTGCTCTGGGCCAGGTACTGTGACAGGTGCTTCCTTACATTCTATTCAATTTGACCTTCATGACAAGAATCTTCAGAAATGGGTATGATTATCCCAGTAACCCTTGTCTTATCTTAATTTTACACAATTTTCTCCCTAAAAAAACTTTTTCCTCCCAGAGTTACAATGGGCTTTGGTGGAAGACCTTGTTTTCATGTTTGTTCCATCACTGACTAGAGGGGTGACATTAGGTGAGCTAATTAATCTCACTGATGCTCTGATTCTTCACTGATAATATTTGGGTTATGAAAATGGAGTTACCCCTTCTTCTTCTCTCCCAGGGCATTCTAAAGATAAAATGAGCATCTATTAAAGCAGATCCATGTTACTTGGCCATGGAGGAGGGTTGCTACATATATCTCCTTCTCCATTGCTGAGCCCTTCAATAATCTTGATACTGGTCATAAAAAGGTTATACAAAAAATGAACTGGGTCTTCTTGGTCAAGTAACTTCTACCTCTTGGGCCTAAGTCTTGCCTCCATTTTAGTTCTACTATCTAATGCTTGTCCAGTATGGTAGCCACTAGTCACATATGACTAAGTTAAAATTAAATAAAATCTAAAATGTAGTTCCTCAGTGGTACTAGTAGTAGTCAGTTGCTCAAAAGCCACATCTGGCTAGTGGTACCATATCAGACAACACAGATGTGCCTTAGATAATTCTACCACAACATTTAGGGAACCAAGTGGTATGCACATTCCCTGTTGATGGAAAGCAACAGGTGGTCTTAAATAATTTTAAGTAGTAACAAAATAAAAATAAAAAAGGTATCCATCACCATCATCCATCACCACTAGCCCTAAACATATATATCCTTGTGAATTCATGAAGGACTGCACTGAGCTGGAAACCCTGTTTTGGGACCACTCCTTGGGATGGGCTACACAACTTCATCCTGCAAAGTCTTTGGGAGGAATGTCAGAAGATGCCACCACCATGGAAAACCAGTCTGGCACTTCCTCAAAAAATTAAACATAGAGTTACCCATTCCACTCCTAGGTATAAACCCAAGAGAACTGAAAATTTGTGTCCACACAATGTGGACATCAGCATAATAGCCCCAAAGTGGAAACCTCCCCAGATGTGCATCACCTCCTGAATGGATAAACAAAACAGGGCATCTATAATAGGTATTACTCATCCATAAAAAGGAATCAAGTTCTGATACACAAGACAACCCAGATGAAATCTGAAAACATGCTAAGTGAAAGAAACCATACCTAAATGACCATATACTATAAGATTTCATTTTTATATGAAAAGTCCAGAATAGATAAAATAGAGATAGAAAATAGATTAGAAGTTGCAGGGGTTCAGGGAAGGGGGAGCCAGGAGTAACTCCTAATGGGGACAGGGTTTCTTTCTGGGGCAATAAAATGTTCTGGAATTAGATAGTAGTGATCAAGACCCAACTTTGTGAATATACTAAAAACCACTGAATTGTTCACTTTCAAAAGTACTTTTTAGAGTAAGTGAAACATAATAAGGTTGTTATTTTTTTTTTTAGAAAAACATAAACAAAAGACAGTCTGTAGGAGGCAGGTGAGGACAGCTTTACCATGAAACGTATTGAGTGGGTTGAAATTCAGGGACATTCTTTTCCCAAGGGACTGACTTGTTTCAGAATGGTTGCTAAGTGAACCTCTCTATTGACTTTATACTTTTGTCCTTGAAGGAAAGAAGAAAGAAAGAAAGAAAGAAAGAGAGAGAGAAAGAGAGAGAGAGAGAGAGAGAGAAAGAAAGAAAGAAAGAAAGAAAGAAAGAAAGAAAGAAAGAAAGAAAGAAGGAAGAAAGGAATGTTCTCTCTCAGTTTAAAAGCCATTCCCGTATCACAGCAGCTGTCTGCAGTACAATGTATTCCTCCAAGTGTCTGACAGCCAGGACAATGCTTTATTTATAATATATCACCCCAAAAGAATGGGCCTCTTGCCAAGACTTTGGGCTGCACAGCAAACGGAAATCATCTCGATTATGCACTCACAGGGGTTGCACCTGTTCTTGCTTCCGAGTCCAAGGTCACTCTGTCCTTTTCAAGGGAGTCCCCCTGCCCCTTCGAAGACTCTTGTGACCCAAAAGAAGACTGATGTCATCCCTAACCAGAAATGATGATGGCAAAACAGAACTTTAGAATCAAAGGGAACCACAGAGACCATCTTCTGAGCCAGTGAATCTAACTGCAGGTGAGGAGATGCAGTCCATAAACCCAAACTCCATCACTCATTTATGGAAGCCTCGATTCTTCTTTCTCCCTAAGTCTTCTGCCAGTCATTACTCCCTGACACCCGCCCCCCACCCCCGCCACGTGCTTATTCCCTTTCTGGTCCTCTCTGCACCACCCTTCTCAAGCTTCTACTCTGGTCTAAGCCCTGGCTTGCTCTCACGCTGAACGCTGCAAGCCTTTGTTAGCTGATCTCCTCACCTAGAATCTTGAGCCTCTCCCATCCACCTGCATACCCTTCCTGTCATCTTCCTGACACACGGATCTGATCGTGTCATACTCGGGCTCAAACAGCTTCTCTTTGCCCTCGGGATCAAGGTCAGATTCCTTCGCATGTCACCTGCAATTGGTGGATGGGACATCCTGAGTAAGAAGCAGCACCTGCCACTGGAGGATCCAGAAGGGAGAGGCAAGCAGGGGCCCAAGCTCTCAGGGCCCTGTCACTCATGGTCTGGTTGTGGATTTTATTCTCTTTGTCTTGGTCATCCATTGGAAGGTTTAATGCAGGGAAATGAGCCAGTGAAACTCCCATCTCTTGAGTCTCCTTAAATCTGTGCCACAATCTGGTGATGGGGGTGAAGGGCCTGGGTGTAGGTCCCATGATAGATGAGTGGGAGGGCGGGCTGGGGATGGAGGGGCCATTCGGCTAGTGTTGGGTCACGCTATGGTCCATGAAACCAAAGGGGTGTGGAAGACACACACTTCCGAGCCGGCCCAGCTCCTGATGTGAGACTGAGTGACCCTCTACTCTTCCTCCCAACCCAGGAGGTACGGCGGTTCCACATTCCATCCACACACTGTACGTCCCAGCTCAGGACTGCAGTGTCTAAAACCTAGAGAGGGGGCGCCTGGGTGGCTCAGTCGTTAAGCCTCTGCCTTGGGCTCAGGTCATGATCTCAGGGTCCAGGGATCGAGCCCCGCATCGGGCTCCCTGCTCGGCGGGAAGCCTGCTTCTCCCTCTGCCACTTCCCCTGCTTGTGTTTCCTCTCTCTCTCACTCACTCTCTCTCTCAAATAAGTAAATAAAATCTAAAAACAAACAAATAAAAACCTGGGGAGGCGTGAGGCACAGGCTGTTTTAGTAGCCCAAGTAGTGAAAAGGCCAAGGGCTTTGGGGGCCTCTTGATGTGGCAGACATTGGCCAAAATGCCCGAAGTTTCTGAACCCCAGCTCGCCCCGCTGTGAGAGGAGCCTGGTGACCCGACCTCTCCACCTGTCTCCAGGAGCGAGCAGGAGCCACTCTGTCAGCCTAGCCCTGTCTGTCCAAGATGCTTTACTCCGCCCACGTCACTGAAGCGGCTGAAGGCAAGTGCACGACCTGCATTTCCACAGCCCTCTGCTGATTTTAATGCACCTTAGCGTTTGAGAGCCTCTGGGCTCTCTTACAGGGTGCCTGTGAGGAGTGAACGAAGTGTGAACTTGGATCTCTTGGATGCACTGGATGTCCAGTGAATATGAACTTCCCTTTTCCCTTTCACAGGTGCTGGCTGTGGGCAGAGATTCTTATTTTTTTTCCTGAGGCAATTAACTAACTAATTAAATTATTTATTTATTTAGATTTTATTTATTTATTTGAGAGAGAGAGAGCACAAGCCAGGGGAGGGGCAGAGGGACAAGCAGACTCCCCGCTGAGCACAGAGCCCAACGCAGGACTCGATCCCACCACCCTGAGATCATGACCTGAGCCGAAATCAAGAGTCAGACGCTTAACTGACTGAGCCACCAGGTGCCCCTGAGGCCTTTAATTTAATCTCCACCTCTAAGAATACAAAACAACATCTCTGGGTTATTGGAGGATTCCTTCTGCTGCTTCTTCTGCCTGCCTGTTCCCAGTATCCAGAAGAGTCTGCGGGTACAGGCCATGGCCAGGGGCGGGGAGCATCCGGGACTGCTCGTGAGGCCCACTGCGCTGGCTCCCCACTTCCTCAGACATCGGCCCTGCTCAAACGATGATCGGACCTTCCCTTGTCAGCCACTCCACACTGTCTACCTGGCAACAACCCCTCGTGGGGTCACCTGGGGAGCTTAAAACGGTACAGATGCCTGGACCCCACTCTTACGGGGTTCTGATTTAATTAGCCTGGGGTGTGGCCTGCACAGTGGGATTACTGAAGCTCCCCGGTGATTCTAACAGGTGGCATACACTGGGAACCATACGCTGTTCTCCAAGAAACTATGAATCCACAGGCACAAACACAGACCCACGGAAGGGACGGCCAGTCACACCCCGAGCATTCAGACGGGTTGCCACTTGCCTGAAGAACGGAAAAGAGACGACCGATTCATAGAACCTCCATGTCGCCACGAGATCAATCCTGTTGGGGTTGGTAGCATAATACCTCCAGGCAGCCTGAGGAGGAGAAAAGAGGGGCTGGAACCACCAGATAGAACTGCAACACTCTCACAGAATCCCACAGCATGAAAACACTTGGGAAGCTCCTGACTCCTAAGAGTTTAAATATGCATCGAGGTGATATGCAGGGAAGCCAGGTTTCCTGGCTTTTGTAGCTCCTTTGGGAAGGAATCCTTCTTTGACCCATCATCTTGGAGCCCTAACTGGTACTGTGGGGGTGTGGAGAAATGCAGTAGGGAGAAGAGGGTGCTGGGTATAAAATCCCCGGAAGGAGCAGGGGTTACTCCTGATGCAAGTTTCCCTGAGACTTCTTAAATAGCTAGGAGGATAAACATTGTCTTTTGTGCAACTTTGGGTGCAAGAGACGGCCCCAGAGATGACGTTTGATTCTAATGTGCTAGAACTTCAGGACTACTGTGATGGTCTGGGGTTTGGGGGATAATAGAGCATACCCTTAGAGACAGGGACTGGCCATGACACTACATTATGTAGGATAACATCATGTACCATCCAGTGTCAGACCCACAGATGCACAGAGACCCTCAGTACACCGGACGCAAGCTCATGGTGGGTGGTCCCACGCAGCTGAAGTCAAGGTACTCCACCCTCCTCTTCTCTGTGCTCTCAACAGCCCACAAAACCATGAACAAGAACTCTTCTGCCTTTCTCCCCAGCTCGCACTATCCTCCCCACTTCCAGCCCACACTGCGGGAATTATGGAGCTGCTGGGCGTCCAACACCCACTGGTGCGTGATGGTCTACTGGGCAGGATAAATGGGCCAACTGTCCAATACTGAGCACATGCAAGGTGTCTCCTCCTCTCTTGGCTTATGGGTTCTCTGTCCTTGGCTGATATGAGGGGCCACATCTTGTAGCTGACTGGCTAAGCACCTGGACTCTAGCCTGGTTCTTCCTTGTGAGTCCCTAGGTCAGGACAAGGTGGGAAGTGGAAGGAGGAGAAGCCTCGTATGGACTCAGACCCAAGTCAAATTCTCCACTCCAACACTGTTAGTAAAACAGCTGATGGCTTGCTTGGTCCCTGTTAGAGTCCTGTGTCTCTTTCTCACTTGGCTTAGAATCTGGATGGGAGAGAGTTGGGATGGTCGTCATGTTCATGCCACGAGGACAGGTCGAAAGATCACCATGGGAACACCCATAGCCGTGTACAAGCAAGCATGGCCCGGGATCCCATCCCCAGCCCGGGCACACCCACTGCCGTACAAGCACACACAGCCCCACGGGAGCTCCCGCCCGATCTGGTTCCTCCCCTGGCAGACAGACCTGAATGAGTTCAGCGGCCGGCTTCCTCCTTTTCTCAAAGTGCTTCTGCCGGTGTTGTTCCTGTACCTTGAGTGCTAGTCCTGACCCCAGGATGCCCTAGAGGGAGAAGTCAGGCCTGGGTCAGCCCCGCTGGCCTCTCTGGGGGCCCCACCCCGACTCCCAGGGCCACAAAGACTCCTTTATTCTCTTCCAGGGAGTAGGTCGCTGGGTTACGTGGAGGCTTGATGTCAGGAAGGCCTGGCTTCAGTTCCTGACTCTGCCACTTTCCAGAGGGGAGAGCCTGGGCAAGCCTCTTATCTCCTACACCTCAACTTCCAGGGAACTGGGCTAATAGTACCTTCCTCATAATTTTGTTAAGCAAAACCTGAAACCATCTATCGGAGCCATTTGGTAAGAAGTATGACACAGAACAGATGCCCAGTAAATGCTAATGGAATGTAAAAATATTTTAGCTGCTTAACTGGTCACTTAAGACTTTTACTGGACTCTCCCAGAATTGTGACCTGTTTTGATTTCCAGGTCAGACTTCCATGCAGATTACCTGGATAGAAGCTCTCCCTTTTCAAGTTGGGAGAGAACTTCGAGACCATGCAGCACCCCCACAGCCCCTGACCTGTTCCAGATGAGGAAACTGAGATTCACAAAGGCCACATGCCCTAGGTCATCGAGCTTAGGAAAAACAGACAAGGTAGGCGACAGTGGAGGAAGAATATCACTAAGGCTAGCTCTGGGGGATGAAGGGGGTGGAAGTGGGCTTGCTCCATAAGAAGGTTCATTCCAGGGGCGCCTGGGTGGCTCAGTCGTTGAGCGTCTGCCTTCGGCTCAGGTCATGGTCTCAGGGTCTTGGGATCAAGCCCCACATCGGGCTTTCTGCTCAGTGGGAAGCCTGCTTCTCCCTCCCCCACTCCCCCTGCTTGTGTTCCCTCTCTCTCGCTGTGTTTCTCTCTGTCAAATAAATAAATAAAATTAAAAAAAAAAAAAAGAAGGTTCTTTCCAGCTTCATTATTAACAGCCCGAGCCCACAACCCAATAACCTTGTGATCGTGGAAACCTGACTGACCTGAGCCTCAGTGTTCTCGTCTGGACAATGGTGATTAAAAACTCACCAAACTCACCATGATGTCATTAAATGAGATTGAATGAGATGTAGGTAAAGCATTTGGCACGAGTCTAGCACACAGTAAGTCCAACAAATGCTTTCTGTGATTGTTGTATTATACTTATGGGCACTGGGCTTTGGGGAGGTTATTCTATCATGGGTCAAGTACTCACTCTTGAGGGTGATGCATTTTTTTTTAACATAAGCCAGTAAATGAAATGGTAGAACAAGGGAAGGGAGCTCATGTAGATGAAGGACCCGCCTATGCAAGGTGCTGGGGAGACAAAATCCCAACCCCCAGGGAGCTCACAGTCTGGGGGTGGGGGGCCGAGGGGAATGCAGCATGGGATCAGAAATGCCTTTATAGAGTTATGCCCGGGGCAGGGGGGGGTGTTAAGTCAGCTGAAAGAAGGCAGCCTTGAGACTGGGATTTGGAGCAGCCAAACCTGTGGAGCTAAGGGTACAATAGGGTGGAAAATGAGCCTGAAAGGTGCAGCTGGGTCCGGGGGACAGGGAGGGGTCCCACCTGTCACACTAGGGAGAACGTTGAAGTACTTACGGCTGGGAGGGCAAAAAAGGAGACACCAATTAAGGAGAAGGTGGCCGCAATCAGGCGGCCTTCCCACGTTTTGGGCGTCTTGTCTCCATAGCCGATGGTGGCCAGTGTGATCTGGAGAGAGAAGAGGTCGGATGTGGGTCTTTGCAGGGTGAGGGAAGTCAGGGACACATCAGCCGAGCTCCACCTGTAAGTCTTTCGTACTGCTTGGGGACGTGATTCCCATGGGAGAAAAGGTACCAGGTGCCGAGTAATTACATGGGCGCCTTGCAACCACGCCGGTTTCTAAGTTAAGGATTTCCTCCATAGAGTCGATCAGCTGACAAATTTTTCAATCATTGCAAACATGTGCATGTGCATTCTTGGCATATTTACATGCTTGTGATTTTGTGTACTGCTATGTTTCCAATGCACGCATGCTGATGCGTGTACTTACATGTATTGTGTGCATATGTGTGCATGTCTCCCACCTGTGCACATGTCTGTCCTGCTGCACGTTGTACAGTCCTTGGTGTGTTTATAAGTGTAGGTTACTGTGCGCACGTGAATGCACAGGACAGGACAGCAGAGCAGTCCAGCGTGTGGCCTCTGGAGCCCAACTGCCTGAGTTCAAATCCCAGGTCAACCACTAACTGGCTCAGAGATCTTTCTTGGATTAATTACCTACTGGGCAGGATAAATGGGCCAACTGTCCAATACTGAGCACATGCAAGGTGTCTCCTCCTCTCTTGGCTTATGGGTTCTCTGTCCTTGGCTGATATGAGGGGCCACATTTTGTAGCTGACTGGCTAAGCACCTGGACTCTAGCCTGGTTCTTCCTTGTGAGTCCCTAGGTCAGGAAAAGGTGGGAAGTGGAAGGAGGAGAAGCCTCATATGGACTCAGACCCAAGTCAAATTCTAGTGGTTACCACTTCTTGCCTCAGTTTCCCAGTCTTAAAAAAGAGGCTAAAAATAGGAGTTCTTTGAATTTAAAATGTCAATAAATGTGAGGTGTTTCGAACAATGCTCTGGAGCAAAGTAAGCCTTCAAAAAATGTTAGTTTGGGGCGCCTGCGTGGCTCAGTTGGTTAAGCGTCCTACTCTTGATTTCAGCTCAGGTCATGATCTCAGGGTCGTGAGATTGAGCCTCGCATCGGGCTCCGTGCTCAGTAGGGAGTCTGCTTAAGGATTCTCTCTCTCCTCCCTCTGCGCCTCTCCGCTCATGCTCTCTCTCTCTTAAAAAAAAAAAAAATGCTAGCTTTAGTACCATGTGTTCCTGTGGGATGAGCTGTGGGTCTCTGGGTGTGTTTGAAGGTCTGAGTGCACATGTGTGCATCTGCGACTGTGTCTGTCTGCACATGCATGGCTTAGCTGATAACAGCCTACAACTAATGAAGTAAGGTCCCTGAGAGATGATGAGACCAGACTGTGCCCAGCCCTGACTTCTTGTAAGCACTAAGGAAAAGCCCGTTCCAGGTGCATTCCCTGCAGAGGGAGTTCTGGCCTGTGCCTACAAATGCAGCTGCCCACCTGAGCCCTCCCCTGCCATGCCCTCCACCTCTAACAGTCAGTCCCCTTGGGGGGCCTTCAAGATGGTGACTCACCAGGCCCCACCAAAGGGCATCTGCATAGGTCTCAAATTCCTCCTTCACCTCTTCTCCATGTGCATCAACCTCTGGCACATCTTTCTCAACCAAGTAGACAAGAAATGAAGAAAGGATGAGCGTCAGGAACCCAATGTACCAGGCAGTGATGAGCTCCTGGGAAAGCAAGCAGTGGACAAGGGAAGTGGTCACTGGGAAGTCTGCGGATGGATGCTGGAGGCAGACGCGCCAGGGTTGGGGTCCAGGTTTACCAGATCCATGACTGTGGGCAAGTTATTCACCTCTGAGCCTTACCTCTGAGACTTACCTTCTTCTTCTTCTTTTTTTAATTTGAGAATAGTTGACACACAATGTTACATTAGTTTCAGGTGGACAACATAGTGATTCAACAAGTTTATACATTATGCTGTGCTCACAAGCGTAGCCACCATCTGTCCCCATACAGTGCCATAGCACTGACCATATTCTTTCTGCTGTGTCTTTTATTCCCATAACTTATTCATTCCATAACTGGAAACATGTATTTCCCACTCCCTTTCACCCATTTTGTCCAACCCTCCACCCCCTTCCCTCTGGGAACCATTAGCTTGTTCTCTGTATTTATAGGTCTGTTTTTGCCTTTTGTTTGTTCATTTGCTGGTTGTTGTTGTTTTTAGATTCCACTAATGAGTGAAATCATATGGTATTTGCATTTCTGTCTGACTGATTTCACTTAGCATAATATCCTCTAGGTCCATCCACGTTCTCACAAATGGCAGGATCTCGTCCTTTTTTATGCCTGTGTAATATTCCATTGTGTATGCACACCACATTTCCTTATCTATTTGTCTATCGATAGGCACTTAGGTGGCCTCCGTATCTTGGCTACTGTAAATAATGCTGCAATAAACATAGGAGTGCATGTGTTTTTTTAAATTAGTGTTTCCGTTTTCTTTGCGTAAACCCAGTATTGGAATTATTGGATCATACGGTATTTCTGGTTTCAGTGTTTTATTTTATTTTATTTTATTTTATTTTGGTTTCAATTTCTGAGGACTCTCCCTACTGTTTTCCACAGTGGCTGCACCAATTTACATTCCCACCAACAGAGCATGGGGGTCCCTTTTATCCACATCCTCACCAACACTAGTTGTTTCTTGTCTTTGTGATAATAATATGGTCCTTATTTCCATCATTAACAGAACAAGTGTATGGCTCGAGGAGAGGAAGATTTCTGTCTTCGGATGACCTTGATATCACAGCTCAAGAGGCTTCACAGGGAGGCAGGAAGGCAGGTGAAATGGGCATCCGCCTCTGAGTCAAGGCACAGGACTCAGGAGACTTGATTCCAAGCAGGGCGGAGCAGATCCAGGATAAAGCTCAGCACTACCAGGAAACTGACAGCAGGGGGAGCTAGCGTGGCATAGCGAACCCAGCCTGGCCACTGATTTCCTCTGTGACCCTGGGCAAATGGACCCCCTCCCCAGCTTCAGTTTCTTTATTTTCAAAATGAAGGGACTGGATCACAGTTCTTAAAAGTGACCTGTGTACTCCTGATGGAAGGAAGGCAGGCAGTTTTTATGTTAAAGAGTCACATACTGATTTAAGCGATATTAAAAATCAGCATAAATTAAAATGAGCATAACATCTTTTATTTCGTGGATATTATCACATGATAGACTAGGACATGTGAGTAGGTGCACAAGAGCGAGTTGATTTAGAGAACAATGCTAAGGAATAGTAAGGATGGTGCAGGGATATGGCAAAGATCTGCAAATCACCGAGGTTTCAAACACCCTGACCCAGACAATCCCTAAGGCTCTTTCTATTTCTCTCATTCTATTCCAATTTCAAAGTTCAGCATGGTATGTTGGGCAGAAGAAAGTCAAGGTTATTGGCAAACACAGTCTGGAGATGAGGCCTGACGCTCCTCCTAAGTCATCCCAGGGAACAAAGTTGTTCTTAACAATATACTTTATCTATCTGACCGTCAGCGGCCAGGCAGCCAACCTCTGGGTCCGGAGAATCTCGGGCTTGCTTCCTGCCTCTCTCCGTGCCTTTGCTCACATTGGCCTCTGTCCCTGCACTGCCTTTCCCCGTGGGATGAACAGAAGAGCAGCGGGTCATCTTGAGACGTGCATCAACTCCATTACGGAAGTTTTCCATTGCTCCATGAAATCGAGTTCAGCTCTAGTTCCTTTACGCTTTCACTATTTCCTGAGTAAGCTTTCTCGAAATCTCTAATACTTACTGTGCCCACTGCTTAGGTCTGGCTTCCCCCACAGCGTCACATACACTTGTGTGAATTCACTTTACAGCCCAGAGAGGTTAGCTTTGATGGTGCAGGCAATCCAGCCAGCCACTCCCTTCAGTGAGTGTCTGCCCTGCCCAGGCTTAGAGAAGACAAAGGCGAATTGGGTAAGTCCTTCCCCTGCGGCTGTCTGGGCACGAGCCTCTCGCCTTGTTGAGTGCGGTTTCTAGCATTCCTATGCTCTTTCATTCCCTCTGTCCCCTGAATGCAAGGCAAAAGTTTCATCTGGTGCTTAGCTATGGAAATTGTTGTCTGTGCATGAGCGCACAGGAAAACTGGTTGTGTTGGATTATTAAGAAGTAGCATAATGGTCATTAACGAGGAGTGAAAACGTGTCCCAGTTCTGTGTTTTGCAGTCATTTAAAAGGCTATTCAAGGTAATTCCGACTTTACACGATTTTTTGCCAGTAACTCTGTGGCAGAGCCCGTGGCTGTTCCTCGATAGCCACAGAATCCTGCACATGCCTGAGCCGCCCTGAAGTCGGACCGGGGCTGGGGGTGCTAGGGGGCTGGGGTGGAGCCAATGTGGGGGAAATTCGGCAGCAACTTCCTGCCTGTTCCTTAAATCCATTCTGCAGGGTGCGCCCGGCCCCTTTTTGCTGCCTCGGTGACTCAATGCTCATCTTCAACACAGATGAGGGCCACCTAGCCCACGTCCGACATCGGAGAAGACATCGACCTTTTTTTGGTGCCAAGAGTCTCTGGGGCCTCTTTGTTCTGGTAGCACAGCCTGGCCTTATCCTAACTTTGAAACTCTAACCTTGTGCCGCATGGGCCTTCCTGAGGAGTCGATCATGGAACATGGCCCAGAGGCCACAAGTTTGGAATGAATGGTTGAGGAAGTAAAGTGCTAAGTGCCCGTTACCAGGCTTAGAGGAGGAACTGGGCTAAGCTCTTGTAGTTACTAAATGGGGAAGCGGGACTCCAACCCAGGTGTGTGCTCACCTCCTCACTGTGCCCACTGCTTAGGTCTGGCTTCCCCCACAGCGTCACATACACTTGTGTGTGGGACACTGCAGGCCCCAGAAGTGAAGGCTGGCCGGGCAGCCGCTGGGCAGCTCTGGAAAAGCACCAGGCTAAGCAGGGGGACGTGTGAGGGGGAAGAATGGCAGGTGGAGCCTGACCAGCAGTTGCTTTTCTGCCTTTGGTCTCCTACCACAGAGATGTCGTTTTGTCTCAAGTTCTGCCCACCTGACCTCAGTTGTAGGGTCTGGTGGTGGCGTGGACATATCTCGTCCCGGGAATTACCCGGTAGGTGGGCAACTGTTTTCTATTCCGGCGCGGAGGGAACACAGGACGAGAATCGAAACCAGCCATTTTCAGCCCTGATTTCTACGGGAGCCGTGAATCAGCTCAGCTCCCTGGATGAAAGGTTAGGTATTGCTAGCATGTCCTCTGATAAGAGTGGAAGGTCAGGTGGAAAACCCTCGAAAGAAAGCTCTGACCTCACCGAGTCTGGGGTCAGAGGCAGCTCAGACGGTTTAAAACGTGAGGCATCGTGAGGTGGACTCCGGGCGCCTTTCATTTGTACTTCATTTTATTTAGGTATTTCTACTATTTGTGAAGAAAAGCATATCTGGAATAACAAACACTACCATTAATGAGCGCCTACTATTTACCAGGCACTCAAACGTACCTCTTCTCGTGCGAGCAGCCAGAAGGATCCTCATTTTAACTACTGAGGCAGCTCATAAAAATAGAGCCCGTTCTAAGTCTTTTCACTCTAGGAAGTGAGCGCATTATCGTCCGCATAAATGCAGGAGCCAAGACCCACTGAGGTTACAGAAAACCCCCAGCGTCACACCAATGGAGTTTGGACTCCCACGAGTCTGGGTGAGTCCGGAACCTTTCCCTCCCATCCCGAGCTGCCTTACGTTGGCTCACCTGACCCCCTCAACCACCTGGAGGCAGAGCCATTATTCTCTCGAGGTTAGAAATAGGAAACCGAGGCTCAGGGAGAGCTGAGAGACTTGGCCACGGTCGTCGGCACTCGGTGGAGCCGAGGACTTGGACCCAGCTCTGCCTGCTCGTGCTCGCTGCAGCACCCCTGCCGGTGCCTCTCCTCTTCCTCCTCCTCCTCTTCATCATCCTCACCAGCGGTGGCCGAGTGACCACCCTCTGGGGATGCCGTGAGGGAGGGGGATGCCCCGAAAGGCACAGGTCGGGGAGAAGGTTCTCCGTGGCACTTACTTTGCTGTGGGCGCAGATGGCCGAGCCCAGGAGCTTCCACGTGCCGCCCCTGCGGTCCATCCGCAGCATGCGCAGGATCTGCAGGAAGCGCAGGCTGCGCAGGGAGGTGGCCAGCACATTGCCCTGGTTTCCCACGGCAACCACCGGCACAGAGGCGATCAGCACGAAGATGTCTGGGAACAAGGACAGAGGGGTGGCGGGGGAGAAGGAAAAGAAGGTCAGGCGAACGCGAAGGAACCACCACAGGCACTGGACACAGAGCCTGAGCATGGGTGTCTGTCTTCCCAAGGCTACAGGGCCGGATGGACATCGCCGAGTGGGGACTGGATGCGGGCCTGTCAGGCTCCAGCCCTAATTCTCCATCCCAGGGAAGGGATTCCCCGAGGTCCCCAGGGTGACAGGGTCACTCGCAGGCCCAGAGGGGTCAGGGATATGCCCCGGTCGTGGAGGGGAAGCCTGAAGCTCAGACGTGGTTGAAGGCAGGTTTCTCCTAAAAGCAGCACCGAGTCAGGGCCTTGGCCGTGAGTGATGCACAGGGAGATCATCTCAGGAGGCATGAGAGAGGGGAGAGGGACACAGGAAAGGAGAGAGGCAAGGTAAGGGGAGTTATAAGCAGCCTCCCAAGGTGGTCGCTCTGGAAGATGGGAGCTGGGACCTCTGTCCGTTGGCTCCCGTCCCCTGGTGGTGGAGGCTCACCCCTGGGGTTGCTGATGGCCCCACACTTCTGAGCTGCATGGCCTGGTGGTCTCCCTCAGCTTCAGGGAAGGCCCTGAGCTAGACTGCAGTAAAACATGAAGCCCACCCATGAAGTGGGAGGCTGGTCTCCACAGAGGTGACGTGAAAACGTCCACCACAGCTGTGACTGAAGCAGAGAAGGCGGAGGGGATGAGGGGCTTCTGGAAGGGCCAAGCTGGCTCCTGAAGCCAATAGCCAAGGCCAGAGGAGTATGCCCTGGTCCATCCCTATTCCCTTCAGTGGCCCCCAACACCCATACCAACCATCTCCCCACCACACTACAGAGGGTCCACAGGTAAAAGGGACCCCGTAGCCAAGTAAATTTGGGGAAAAATTGATGAAGCACGTTTTGCTACTGTAGGACTTCTAGAACCTTCAAAATGCTAATATGCACTGTGGCTCTCAATTACACACACGAAGCAGAGCCACAGATTTTGGCTATAGGACTATTTTTTTTTTTTTTTTTGCAAGAGCATCAGGTTCTAAGGAACACACTGGAAGAGATGTTTATCCACTGGGTAAAGTCTAAGCACCTGAAAACCCTCTGACCTGTGAGCCTTTCAGAATCTGGTGCTCTTTGCTGAGCACAGGGCTCTCTCAGACCTCCATACCTCTGTATGTGTCGGTCTTCCCGCTTGGAACAGGCCCCTCAATTCACACCTGGGTACGTCTGCCCTTTCAAGGTGTCTCCCAGATGTGCCTAACTTTGGGGAAAAGCTCAGTGTCAAACATCTGGATACCAATATGTCTACCCTTGGCCAGGCCTCTCAGTTTATCTGTGCAAAGTTACCCACTTTTAATGTTTGCAGAAAGCAAGAGGAAACAAAACCTGGATATGGGGTAAATGTGAGTTGAGTCTATGATGCTCAGAGAGAATGGGAGATTCTGGCCCAGATGGATGCACTCACACCCGAAATGGCAGGGTCTGGGGCTGCCTTGAATATGAAGGCCATGATGTGCCCTGACGGATAACCACCCTCATGTCAAACATGCAGAGGAAAGCAACAATTCTCACAAGGCTATGTTATGGGAAAAGTCGAGAGGAGGAGAGCAGAAAACACAGGCATCCCAGAAAGGAAGCTAGCCAGGATGGTGATGCTGAGGGCTGGCCTCAGCTCTCCAGGGGAGGTTGGCAGTGAAGCGTGATCCAGAGCTCGGTCAAATCAGCCCCTTTTGGAATAGTGAAGACTGTTCCATGGGGAATGCTCTTTTCCTGGAAGCGTCCAGGCTCCACACAGTACTAGGATGTTCTCGAACTGGGTGAGAACCTCTGAATTTGGGTATAAAGTCACCTCCCCCACCCCCTGCCAACACACGCAGGCTTGCACACAGGAGCGGGTGCGCAGGACTTCTGGTCAGCACTGGACAGGACTCTCCAGAGGAGAAGAAGTCCACCTAACACCTTGCAAAAGACTCGAAAGGAAGACAGAAGAAGAAGGGGAAGGCAAGCTGGGGTTGCTATGGGCTGAATGTTTGTGTCCTCCCAAAATTCAGCTGCTGAGATCCTGGCCCCCAATGGGATGGGCTTAGGAGGCGGAGCCTCTGGGAGGTAATGAGGTCATGAGGGTGAAGGCTTCACGAATGGGATCAGGTCCTTAATAACAGAGTTTCCGGAGAGCTCCGTGGTCCCTTCCCCGGCGTGAGGACACAGCAAGCAGACCAAGAAATGGGCAGCCTGTGACCTAGAAGAGGGACTCGACCGGAGCCTGGCACCTTGATCTTGGACTTCTGGTCTCTGGAACTGTGAGAAATACATTTCTCTTGTTCATAAGCCCGCAGTCTGTGGCACTGTTATAGTTGCCTGAATGGACTGAGACAGGGGCAGACAGGGAAGGAGGACAAAGAAAGAGAGAAGGTTGAAAAATATGAAAAGAAATCAGTAACTACAGAATCCTCCAAAATTGTGTGCACTCGTGCACTCACACCACATAGCCTCTCCTTGCATTAAACGTGCTGAGTGATACACAAAACCCTCAGGTGTCCAACCTCAGAAGGAGATGGGAAGAAGGAAGAGCGAGTTCAACAGGCAGTCAAGTGGTACAGTCACTGTGCCAAGCAAACTGCAAGCAAGGCAGGGCCCCCCTGGTTGCCCAGAGAGAAGTGCGGCACATAGGACAGAGGACGGCTCCAGCTCTCCTTCCCTGGGCTGGCCATCTGCATCCAAAGGGCTGTGTTCAGTCCTGGGGGTCACTTTTTAAAAGGGCGGTGAGCATGCTCAGAGAAGAGCAAGAACGATGCTGAGAACCTGTGGTACAAGGAACAGCCAGAGCCACTGAGCACACTTTTCCACTGCTGGAGTGGAGAGGAAGAACAGAACGACTGAACTCAAGTATCTGAAGAGAGTCAGAGACTTCAGATGGAATAAATACGTTGGAAGGTGGTGAGCGCCCCGGACCTGGAGATATGCAAGCAGGTGACCGCTTGCAGGCTGCTATGAAGGGGAAGGGAATATCAGACGGGCCGGCGTGTTGGACTAAGTGCCTTTGGAGAGCCCTTCAAGGCCCTGTGATCCTGAAACTTTAATCATCACTAGGAATTTGAGGTTCCAACTCCTGCCCGTCACTGTCGCTCTATGATTTTAGTGGGATCTTCAGATGGAAACATACGGGTTCATGCTGCACCAACAGGGGTAAGTGGAAGTGTCCACCTTCTCTGCTATCTAATGCCTGCACCCAAAGGGAAGGGTGTCAGAGACATCTCCCCAAAGCAACTTGGGGGTCAACACCCAGCAACGTGGGAGGGACGGAGGGCACAGGTGCTAGATTCTTCCAGACCTGGTGTTGTTAGGATGGAATCTGCGGCTTACTACCTGTGTGACTAGGAAATGACTCAGCACTGTGAACCTCAGTGTCCCCCTCTGTAAAATGGGCACAACGTGGACCCATAGAAGTAATTCTCAACCAGCAGTGGTGTCACCCCTCCCATGCCCACAAGCACCAGTCTGGAAGGGTGCAGGCAGTTTTGGTTGTCACAGTGCCTGGAGGCTTCCAGTCTAGGGACTGGGGATGCTCAGCGTCCTACAGTGGGCTGCTCCTTCACAGCCCAAATGCCAAGAGTGCCCCCCACCATGCTCATTAAGAATCACAGCCCTGTAGAGCCATCAGGAGGGCAAGCCACGGAAGAAGGAATTCTGCGTCCGGAACACTGGAGCGGCTCTTCCTCACCGAGGTGGGGTCAGAGGCTGCGCGGGCTTCCATAAAGCCACATTTCCTCGGGGAAATGGCGCACCAGGAGCAGGGGGACCGGGGCGCCCCCTGACTCAGGGTCAGGGCTTACCTACCGAGCATGCACAGGGGCTTCCTGGCAAACTTGAGCCTTCCCCGCCAGCCTTTATAGCGGCAGCAACATCCGGCAGCCCAGATCCTCAAAGCAAACTCGGCTCCAAAGATGAAAATAGCAAATGTTTCCTGCATTAAGAACATATGGAGAGACACGGATCAACCGGGACCCAGTTGTCTGGGAGTACAGATTTCTGCTCTGAGGTTCTGAAGAGCGGGGTTTCTGTTGCTGTTGCTGTTTTGGTGGTGGAGGGGGAAGAAGAACACGTTATCACCTCCGGGCACTTCTGGACAGCCCCCGTGTCCATGCTAATGTGCTAACTGTCCCTAAGAGCAGCCTTGCAAAGGGATTCCTTGTTTTTTCCTGTTTTGGTTCCAATGGATCCCTTTAAAAAAAAAAAGTCTATTTTCATGTACGAAAAGCCTCTAAGTGCAGTTAAATTGAAAAGAGAAATTATCAATGAAACACAGTCTGCTAATCCCACCCAGTTGCCTGGCCCCGGGAATTGCTACTTACGGCCAACGGTTACTAAGCAGGGCTCCTGGGCCAGGCTCTGCTTCAAGTGTTTTATGATATTATTCTCATTTTATGTTTCGAGAAACCAAGGCAAGGAGTAGGTACACAGAATCCTCCAGACTAGGACGTGGCAAAGAGGGACTCCCACGCTGGTAATCAGGCTCAGAGCACCAGGCTGTGCTGTCTCCCTAGACCCTGGGTTTCCTCCTTCCCTCCTGCCTCTCTTGTTGGTCAGGCAGACACCTCTGCCCCCCCCCCCACTTTGGTGACCTCCTGGGACCCTTGGGGAGTTGCTGCTCCGTGATAATCCCTGAAACCTAGTTCCTGGAGCTAGATGGCTTCTCAGGATTCACCTGCTAAGATCAGTCTCACAGCGTGAGACTGTGTGAACTGGAAACACCTGCCTTCAGAAGGAATCCCCTGACTCCGGCATTATGGATGGCATGCTCAGTGCGAGGTGAAGGTTCTGCTATTTTGTAGACCCTAATTGGGGGGCTGGCACCCCTTGCCTGTATAGATGAGGGAGCAGAGAGATAAAACAGGCAGAGGTCCCAGGAGCAAGGATGTGGAGTTTAATGTAGAAATGGGATTTGGTACTTGGCCTTGAAGAGAGTCAGAGATCTTCAGGGTTTTAAGGAGAAAAAGCAGAGGCAGGTTTTAGAACAGAGCACGCCTTTGTGTTAACTTTCAGAGGATTGAGAAGCCGCCATTTATCATATAACTAATGTGCCTTGGTTTTTGCTTTGACCTTGTTTGTGCCCCCTTGTCTCTAGTCTAGAATAACAAATACCATTCCCTTCCACCTGTGCCCATGCATACCTGCCCAACTGATCCAGTCATTGCTTTCTCTTGGGACTGGACTTGGCCAGGAAGCCAAAACCAGTTGTGCCCAAGGGCAGCCTCCTTGCTCTCAACTGTGAGAGTCCAACCAGAGGCGTCTACCCCAGAATCGCCCCCCCCCCGGGGGGGGGTGCACAGTCTCACCAGTAATAGCAGCCAGTCTCCCGAAACAGTCTCGTACTCCCTGAACGTGGTCAGCACGGCCAGAATCAAGCATCCCAGGACAATGAGGAACCTGGAGGGAAGGAAGGAGGAAGCATCTAGTCCCGGCTAGCTCCAGAGGATGGTGTCAACCAGGATGAAGCGACAACTTCCCTGAGACGTTGGCATGTGCTTGATCTGTTTTACCACGTAACCTCATCACAAACCTATGGGGCAGGTAGGAATTATTATTCCAGCTAAAGAAAACAGATCCGAGGAAGGGTAAGCAATGTGCATACTTTTACTTAACCAGCTAGTTAATGGAATGAGCTGGGTGGCTGCAGACACCTTTCAGACGAAAAGTTCCCACAAGCTTTGGTAAAGCAACAGGAATATAAATGAATGAAGAGTGTGTCCTGCACGTATAGGACAATGGTTTTCAAACATATGAAACGTTCTTATAACGGCTTAGTATTACTCTTTTTAGAGTCCCTGGTTACTGAAGGAAATGACCTCTTTCATCTGAGGCCCTTCAGAATTGTTTCTGAAATTGCAAAATGTACTTCCTACTAGAAAGAACAGGACCCGCCACAGAGAAGGATGCAGAATGCTGCTCCTGGAAAAGTCACGGAGAGGTCATCGGGTTCATGCCCCTGTCTCAGGCAGGAGCAAACTGCAAACAATCCTTTGAGATTATTATCTGCGTAAATTCAGTTGGCGGGGAGGGTGGGGAGAGGGAGAGCATGTAGCACATGTGTGTTCATGTGTGCGCATGCTTCATCATATCGGCAAAGAAAAATGGCTCTCCCTCTCTCTTGGTGGAGTGTCTCTGGTTCAGTGCTCAGCACCAGGCTCCCTAGGGTCCATGGGTGACACTTGGTACTACACACTCCAGGTTCTTCTGCTCTATGTGATCTGGCTCCCCACCCTGCTGGGTTCCAATCCATGCGCTGTGGGCTTGCTTGTGTAAGTGGGGACCCATTGGTGCATTCGTTTACTCGATCATTCACTCATTCCTTCAATTTTTATATGGCAGGCACTGGGGACACAGAGCTGGAATTCCATGATGAATAAGCTGGATTTGTCCTTATGAACTCACAGTCCAGCCAAATAGAAAGCTATCTCATGCCATGATGGTAAGGACCACAATGTAAGGTTTGAAAATGTCTGCTCCTGGTCTTGCCTGGGGACCCAAGTCCTGGCTCTGACCCTTGGTGATCTTGATCACATTTTCTGATCAATAAGCCTTCTGATCTGCAGACCTGAATCTATATTTCCAACCTTGTCTAGGAACCTAAACCAGATTTTCAACTCCCTCTTCTGGGGCCATTTTACTTCAGTTTACGGCTTGGGACCCATGCCTGGAATCTGCCTACCCCGAACCCCAAATCTTCTCAGGTGATGATGATGATGATAACAACATCAACTCCCACACCACCCGTTAGTGAGCACCTACCCCTCACTACTTTACATCTATCAGCTCATCCTTACACCCACCTCCCAGGGTAGACATGAACTCCCATTTTAGAGATGAAAAAAATTCATCAGACGGATTCATTACCATCTGGATAATTGCGTTGTCAGTTAAAAAGACCAGAGTGTGGAGTCCAAAGACACAGGCTCAAAGGGAGGCTCTAGTACTTTCTATGTGATCTTGAGTAGCTCACTGACCTTGGGGACCTCAATGATCACATTCATAGAATGGGAATAATGGATCCACCTGGAGATCATGGCTATTGTGAGGACCACAGGAGACAATGGATGGGGAGTGGTCTGGTCAACTGTACAGGATCATGCAAATGATGCCTGGTGCTGTCCCATTCACACACTCATCACTGGCTGGGCCTGCTGGGGAACGGGCTCTTGGATGATTCTGCAAATCCACACTCCAGTTCTGTCAAGACTGGATTTTATTCCTTCATAGGCTCTGGAAATAAGCCCTAGATTAGAATTCCCTTCTGCCTCTTATGCTGTGTCATCTTGGGCAAGTTACACAACCTCTTGGTGTCTTGGCTTCCTTATCTAGAAAACGAACCCAATAAAAGTACCCACGACCGGGGCGCCTGGGTGGCTCAGATGGTTAGGCATCTGCCTTCGGCTCGGGTCATGATCCCAGGGTCCTGGGATCGAGTCCCGCATCGGGCTCCCTGCTCCGCAGGGAGCCTGCTTCTCCCTCTGCCTCTGCCTCTCTCTCTCTCTCTCTCTCTTTCATGAATAAATAAATAAAAAACATTAAAAAAAAAAAAGTACCCACGACCTCCATTATTCAATGATATAGTCTGTGTCAGGTTCCTAGAGGAGTGCCTTCACTAAATGTTAGCTATTATTTTATTCTGATTTAATATCAATGTATTGAGTGCCTCCTGTGTCCCAGGCACAGCACTGGTTTTAAGGATACAAACATGAATAAAATCTAGCCCTCATTTTCAAGGAACTCCTAGTGCAGCGGAGGAAACACAGGACACATAATTACAGAGGTTATGATCTGAGTGTTCACCGCATGCTTTCAGGGTACAAGATTGAAAGCCTCCAAGAGGCTGTGGCCAAGGGGTTGGAAGTATATTTGAGGCTTAGCAAGAGTTGACTGCTATGTCTCAGTTTATCCAGGACATTCCCCAATTTATGTGTGTTGACCTGGAATATGGCCCCCGAGGCATCGTGAATGACATGTGCACATGCAGAGAGTGCGAAAGTTTATGGACACAGAACCCAGTTCAATCTTCTCCTTTAGCAAGGGATGCGGGCCTTTGATGATCTGGACTTGCTGTCCTCACAACCTTATCTTCCGCTGCTTCCCCACTCCTAGGCCAGCAGTCCTAATGAGAGCATTTCCTCCAACTCTCTGAGCCTATTTGTGCCTGTCTCGATGCTCTTCTCTGCCCACTTCTCCCAACCTCCCTCCACCCCCCATTCTCCTTAACAGCCTTAACATTCTGTCTTAACAGCACAAGTCTTGCTTTGCCTCCGGAGACTTCCAGGACCTTGGCTGCTCTCTACGTGTTCTCCAGTGTGACCTCTCCGCTGGGGTCACAGAGCACCCCACTGCATTTCTATTCCAGTGCTGATCATAACCCATTGTCATTTTGTAATCATTCGTTTGCATTGTGTATTAATTAAAACATACTGTCTTAACTATGTTGTGGACCTGCTGAGTTTGAGGTCCAAGTGGACATATCCAGCAGGTTGATCAAAATTCAAGTCTAAAGCTTAGGGAAGAGGGTTGGGCTGGAGATCTAAGTTTCTTTCAGCTTTTACAGTCTATGATTTTATTTTATTTACTTATTTTTCATTATTTTTTTAAATTTTATTATGTTATATTAGTCACCATACAACACATCATTGGTTTTTGATGTGGTGATCCACAGTCTATGATTTTAGAGCCAGCAAAAGGAATCATGAAATGCAGTTGCAACCTGACTCCCAGCAGCAGGGTGTGCAGAACCAGGCTTTAGCCAGCAGGGGACAGCAAATGCCTGGCAGAGCTCCGCATTTTCTCATACCTCAAGGAATTCAAAGCACCAGCAACCTCAGGGAATTTACTTTCTGAAACTGGAAAACAACCCTTAATTGATAAAGCTAAGAGCATCAAGGAGCCCTCCTTAATTGGGGAAGGGGAAAATGCTCTTTGGTCCTTCACACTTTTCAATTTACTCTTATGATAGGCACTTGATCTCAGACACACAGACCAAATGACCAGTCTCACCACGGAAGCCAGATGTGTGTGGGAGACAGGGTCTTCCCTCCTCCTACCGTTTTTGGCTCTCTCACTCCCCCGTGCTTCACCAATGATTCTTTTACTTCCTCTGTCACTTTCTTAAAGTTTTTAATTTTAATTCCTGTGCAGTTAACATACAGTGTGACATTAATTTCAGGTGTACAATATGTGATTCAACACTTCCATACATCACCCGGTGGTCATCAGGACAATGCACTCCTAATCCCCATCCCCTATTTCCCCCATTACCCCACCCACCTCCCCTTAGATAACCATCAGTTTGTCCTCTAGAATTTAGACTCTGCGCTTTTTTTTTTTTTTTTTGGTCTCTTTCTTTTATTCCCCCTTTTGTTTTGTTTCTTAAATTTACATATGAGTGAAATCATATAGTATTTGTCTTTCTCTGCCTGATTTATTTCGCTTAGCATTATACTCGCTAGCTCCACCCATGTCATTGCAAATGGCAAGATTTCATTCTTTTTATGGCTGAGAAATATTCCATTGTATATATAGACCATATCTTCTTTATTCATCTATCGATGGGCACGGGCTGTTGCCATAGTTTGGCTATTGTAAATAATGCTGCAATACACATAGGGGTGCATGTTTGAATTAGTGTTTTTGTATTCTTTGGGCAAATACCCAACAGCGTGATTGCTGGATCATAGGGTGGCTCTATTTTTAACTTCTTGAGGAACCTCCACACTGTTTTCCAGAGTGGCTGCACCAGCTTGCATTCCCACCAGCACTGTAAGAGGGTTCCCCTTTCTCTACATCCTCGCCAACACCTGTTGTGTCTTGTGTTGTTGATTTTAGCCATGTCACTTAGATTCCTGCTCTGCAGCCGTCCCCGTCTCCTTCACTCGACTTTCCCTGACTTCTCCTCCTTTCCCCTCTCCTTCCTCCCTCTGCTCCTTGCCCACACTCTTCCTCCTCCCAGCGCCTGCAGGATGGCCAGGGTCTGTGGCGGATGTGAGTCTGGGGGAGAGCCAACAGCTGTCCTCCTATCTGCGGGGTCCTGGCTATCTTAGTGAACGAGGTCAGTCAGGGTCAAGGGTCTCAGACACGCCCTTAAATCACACACCACCTCCTATGTGCTTCCACCCGAATCCTCTGCATCTTCCCCCCAGGCTGGGGTTGTGGAGGGTGGGAGGGAGGCTGCTTCGCAGCTGTACTTGGAGTCTCAAGTGTAAGGTCCAAGCCCCTTGACACCAAACCTCTGCTGGGTCACAGCTCTGCACAGTGGCACCGGGGATTCCCTGCAGCTTCTTCTCAGCCAGGCCTGGACTTCCTTACAGGAACAAAGCTGGACCTGCTGGGAATGAGTGCCTAACAGCCAAGGATTATCTACCAGCTCCCCTCGGGGTGGGACAAACAGGCGGTGAAAACTCTAGAATCTATCTAATCATTTGTGCATCATTTTCTCATGTACTCCTGTGAGGTGGGGTCTCAGTCATCATTATATTTACATCCCCATTTTACAGATGAGGAACCGAGCCTCCAGGCTCAGGTGGTGGGGTCACAACAGGAGTAGGGGCAGTGCCAAGAGTGGTCACGGGGCCCGCAGGGAGACACTGCGGGAACAGGCAGGGCACAGCCAGCCGGAGACCGGGGAGGGGGCTGCCGGCTCGCAGTTCAGCCTCGGCAGGACAAGCCCATCCCTTCTCCTCTGGACTCCCAGGTTGGGAAGAGAAACTCTCAGTTCCCTTTCTGGGTAGTTCCCCAAGATCCCAGCTGGTTCCTGCTCCAATTACAGCTGCTCACAGGCAGCTTTCGGAGAAGGCAGGAGCTGACCACTGGATTCTCCTCCTTGGGATCCCTGTCTGTGCGCCATTGAGTGGAGATATGCAGAAATGCTCTCCCTGGCCAGGAGGAGGCAGAACCGAATCCTCTAACAGAGCAGGTGTTGCTGGCGCCACAGTAAGCCCACAGGTCCTGATCCTCAGTCAGCACCCTTGGTTCTTGCTCTTGAGCAGGAAATACAACCCCTCAGTCTATATCAAAATCCTACTGACCCTCAACAGAAATGCCCCAAAGGTAAAGCACCCACCATGTGCCAGGGATTTCCTTATTCCCTACGAATCAGTCCAACAGCCTCTTTGAATCACAGTGACTGCTATCTTGCTGGTAGATTCTCTCTCCTGCTGGCTTTGATGACAGAAGCTGACCTGGAGGAGAGGCCCATGTGGAACTGAGGGTGACCTTCAGCCTATGGCCAGTAAGGAACAGAGACCCTCAAACCAACAGCCCCCAGGGAGCTTGGAACACCCACAAAAGGGAGCTTGGAAGAGGATCCTTCACCAGTCACACCTTCTCATGAGACCTCAGCCCTGGTTGACACCTTCATTGTGTGGTCTTTGTGAGAAACCCCAAGCAGAAGTCTCAGGTAAGCCATGCCTGGATACCTGCCCCACGGGAGCTGAGATGATACATGTGTGTTGTGTTAAGCTGCTAAATTTTGTGGTAGTTTGTTATGTAGTAATAGACAACTGATACTGGTGAAGCAGGATCTGGATCTTGGCCACCTAGAAACTAGATGACTTTGGATAGGTTTATTTTTCAGAGCCTCAGTTTCTCATCTATAATGCAAGGGGTTTTTGTTATCTTATTCTTTATCCCAGTCTTTATGGTTAAGAGAGACTGC